AGCCTCGGAAACCCTGTACAGGGTTGCTATGAGTCGGAACTGACTCCACGGCACACAACAACAACTATTATATTGTTTTTTGTTTGTCAATAGCATAATACCCATTTTAAAGAAAAACTGATAATTGTGTACACTCTAAGAATTAAGGTAAACTCAGGTATTTTTCTCAATTAGTGCTACAGGATAACTGCAACGTTGGTGGTTCAAACTCACCAGCTGCTCCTCAGAAACCCTGTACAAGGTGGCTATGAGTTGGAACCGAATCAACAGCACTTAACTACAACAACAGCAAAACCCAGTCATACATTTTCATAGAGAATAAATACTTGGACTTTGATCAGTTATCTGTTGTGGTTTGCGTTTTATAAAATGACTTATGAAGATTAAATGTAAAGAACATTAAACTGTCATCTTGTTACCTATTCCACAGACAGAATTCTTAAATTATGCATTTCTTGGGTTTTGTTTGCTTGATTGTTTAGCTATTGTGAAGTACTGTTTTCTTGTGTACCGCTTCCCTTGGGAATACTCCAGGAGGATTTTAGCTAGACAAAAATGGCTTCTTTGTCTCAAGAAAATTGAAGTAGATGTGAGTTGAAGTAAATTTTTCTCTAAATATATTGCAAAAGAGAAAACAAATCTATTCAGTGTAGCGATTTTGTTTGCAGAAGGAAACTCAGTTAACAGGATTGTAACATTCATGTTAAGTACTGTCGAATGAGTTGTAACTTGTAGCCACCCTGTATAGTGTTTCCAAGGAGCAACCGGTGGTTTGAACCGCCCACATTGTGGCTAGCAGTCAAGTGCTAATCTTTCAGTGCCACACTGGGTAAAATTCAGGGAGACCTTTAATACAAGTTGTAGCTTTGTCCTCTTTCCTCTTTCCTTAGGAGATTTACAATCAAGTCAGCTATAGAATTAGCCCTAGCAATAATTGCACTAGGTCACTAGCCAATTGGGACTGCACTAAATGATTTGAACCCCAAAAGTGAAAGCCAAGTTGCTGATAACTACATAATAAATTGTTCCTGTAGACTTTTGATTGTCTCTTTGGCACAGTTGAGCACCCAAAAAAACAACCAAACCTACTGCCATTGAGGGAATTCTGACTCATTATTTCTGAGACTGCAAATCATTTGGGGGAGCAGACAACCTCAGCTTTTACCCATGGAGCGGCTGGTGGATTTGAACCACCAACCTTATAGTGAGCAGCCAATGCTTAACCCTAACCGACAGCACCGCAAGAGCTCCTTCTAGTTGTACAGACACGGAATAATTGCATCCCTCAAGATGGCAGACACAAAAAAGGGTGGCCTTTCAATAATGCTTTTGACCACTAAATACTTAGAATGTATTTTTCAAACTATGGCATGATGATATGAATATTAAAACAATTGCACATTGCAGCTTAACTTCTTCAAGAGGAGGAGTTATGAAACTGAACTGACTCATATATTTCAGGTAACATTCTTCCATATAACAAAAAACGTCAGCTATTTTTAACCCACGGGATAGGTGGGATGTTGACTAATCATCCAAGGAATCAGTTGGCCTTATAATTTTATAAGATAATAAAATATTATGCTTTCTACCTTATGTAGGCTGATCTCTTCATTGGATATTATGTGTTTTTATCATTTTTATTAATGAAATATAATTATAACAAAATAATCAACCATGGTTCATAGCAGGAATAGAACACTAGGATCTATTTTAAGCAAAATGTATCAGTCAAATAAGAAAGAACTGTGACGAAAAATTCTTATTGCTCTAGAAAAATCAGAGGTCTTAAAAAAAAAACCTACAACACCCTAAACAGGAATTTTGCTTCCAGTTTCTTTGGCCACGTTAGCCTCCACTTTAACCCCTGTGTTTCTTTATTACAGCCCATCATTTGATGCTGCACTTAAACTCAGTGGCGTTTTTAAATATACTGATATTAAATGAGATGTGCCAAGTATGGGGTTCTAATGCTGTCAGCACACAGAGGAGGCGGCGACCAGCCAATTAAATCCCTAGTAATTAGTTCACCCACTCAATTCTCTTTGTCCTTTAGGGAGAGAAAAAAAATAGGTGATATTGTTTCGAGGTGGGATTTTTTTCTTCTCTTCACGTAGTCTTTTATTTCATCGATTTAAATGTCATATATACCTCAGCATCATTCTCTTTTTCCTCTGTACATTATTTCAACAAATTAACTTTGAGGCTAGCACAATGAGTGTATTCTATTCCATAAAATGTAGGATCCTGTCATTGGGAGGTTCAAGAAAAGCAACATTTTTCAACAGGTCTGTACTATCACAAAAGCCTTAAAAAAAAAAAAAAAAAAAAGATGTTGTTCTTAGGTGCCATGGAGTCAGTTCTGAATCATAGCAACCAAGTACATAGCAGAATGAAGCCTGCCTGGTCCTGCTCCTGCTCCATCCTCACACTTGTTATGTTTCAGCCTATTGCTGTTGTTACTATGTCAGTCCATCTCATTGGGGGCCTTCCTCCTTTC